GTCGGACCCTAAAATGATCGGTACTTGTGTAGCACCTAATGGGAGACAGTCCTACACGGAATCAATCTTTGAGTAGTCGACTAAGCAGGGCAAACTTACCTGAATTTTCCATGCTAAATCAGCGCTCATATAATCTCCATACTCGCGCTGATTCCCAACATGAACTACGTGGGGCTGAAAGGTAATATTATTGGTGAAAACTGGGTCACTGAAAAGTTGTTTGACGACTTCCAGAGCATCGCGCCAAATGAGCTGAATGGGATGGACAGTCTTGTAGCCTGTAAACTCTAGTTTTGAAACTTTCCACTCTGCAAGACAGGGTAGTGCGTCCATCCAATCTAGAAGTTGATCTTTTGAGGTGAAAGATGGTTTTGGGCGAGTGCTAAACTGTGAAAGAGTCAGACTTGTCGAATAGTGCTTAGAGTCTCCTACCCATTTCAACTTCAAGAACTTGTCAATTTGAGTCTGATTCAGGTTTTGAATCAAGAAACTAGCTAATTCCCACTCCCCCTCGTCATGGAAAGGATAATAAGTGTTTATCTCCCGCCGATAATTATATTGATCGTCCTGCAACCTGTCATATAGGTTTTTACCGATACCAAAGACGTATCCAGAGCGAGGATGACAATGGCCAGTGGTATTAGATGGCGGACCTCGCAACCCAGGGGGAACGGCTGATTGTTGTGAACGTGCTTTGTGCGGCCAGCAGGTAGACTGTGAATTGAGATGCAGAACGACTGCTTCGATCGAAGGGAACTCCCTATTGCAATTGGGACACAGCCTGGTAAAGGTATGCATACTAAAGCTAAAGTCAAAGCAACTTAATGGATAATACGCACATTTACTTGGGCAATGGGTCAGCGTTGGAGTCTAGTCTTTCAAACTCCGCTGTGTTGCTTGCTGACATTGCCAGTGTATTCACAGGGTATTGGTGTATTCACTGTACTATTATCAGCCTGCATTGAAGGCTAGAGAGACACTGTCTTGCCGACATTGATATTTGTTCATGTCACCCTCACTTCCACCTTCATCTCCGACTCGACCCAGCAGTCCCGGCAACTGCCTCCCTCCATCAAGCAGTCCCCCATCCTCTCCTCTATCGGGATCTTCTTCAGCTCCTGGGTCGCCTCTTTTTGATTCTTTCCATCTCTCAGAGAGTTCTCCTGATACCAGACATTCTGACCTATGTGCTTCCCTCAAAGGTATCTCCTCAGCGGAGAAGACACCTCCGCCCGTGACTCCGGCTTCTGCTACTGAGGGATCAAACAGCTTATTTTATAATCCACCCGCATCTCCAGATCTTTCTCGCAGTGCTCGACGTCAGTTTATACGTGACAGAATGAGCAGGAAGTTTGTACCATACCCCCCGGACCCAGCTCCACTCGAGGTTCGTTTTGCAGCGCGTCTTATGGGGCGGGAACGCAGACCTTATGTATCCAGCGAATCTCTTCTCAAGGTATTATTATTCTATCCAGTTCCATCCAAACAACTCATTTATATTTTATAAAGCATGCTGGATACTTAGAGAATGGCCTTGCGCAAATGCATCCTTCAACTCTGTACAAAGGATACCAGGCACAGCTTGCAGCTCGTGAGACTGCGCGTCAGCGCATGCTGGCGACTGCGTGGGAAATCGAGGAAACTGAACGCTTCATCATATTCCTCAATGCCATACATGCCGACAATGAAGACCGGCTCAAACTCACAGACGACCAGTTACACGCCTTTAGGAACCTCTTTTCTGAGCGTGACTGCGTAGATGCCGATGATGACCGAGACTATCTTCAAGCGGTCTATGAAGATGAATGCGAAATTCTTAAGATTGTCGCATCCCAAGCTGAGCATGTGGCAAAGGTCTTAGGCTCACGTGTCAGCAAGGCTTTCCAACATGGGGTTGGAGCATCCAGATCGTCTTCGTTGCAACCTGGGTTTGTTGGTGATGACAGTGTCGATAAGGCATCTGTAGAATCCGGGGCCGATGGTTCCGGATCCCCCACTGCCGGCGGGGTTCCTGATGACGACGACAACCCTATATATCTGGGAACCCCTGATAACCTTGGAATTCGTCCCAAAGCGTCTTGCGTGGCCACCGCAATGTGACTTCTTATCGTGGTAAGTCGATTCATGTGTCTGATTATTACTCCACACTGATTGATTGATAAGGAATGTTGTAATACACGCGACACCCTTTCATCATAGCCTTCTTCCAGACCGTGTTAGTTTGTCATATGCACACCGTTTTTTACCTCCTCGCCCCTTCTTTCCCCACTTCTTTGACCTCACGGTCACAAGTACATCAAGTCACAAGCTGTATAGTTTGTTTGCATTCGCGTATCTCCGTTTGTATTAGAATTGTAATTGATATGCCCTTTGCCCTCCCCCAAGTGATTCTACCTTGATGAGTACCCAACGTCGTGCGCCGCGCAAAGGTAAAACCACAATTCCAAAACCTCCTCGAGGATCTGGTCTCAACCCTTCCCATGCGCCTGCGGACACGCAGATCAATATTCCCGACGAACAACCGCGGCCTCCGGAAATGTCTAACTTCGATCCACATCAGCGACAGCACGCCTTTGGTACATATAATCAGTGAGTCTTCCCATCTCTTTTGTCGCGGACTCAGACTCAAAATAACAATAGGCCGAGTCCCGGCTACTCAAATCCTGGAGATAGTAGCTCAGGTGCCGGGTACACCAACTCGCTCTTAGGCGCCGGGTACACCAACTCGCTCTCTAATGCCGGGTACACCAACTCGCTCTCTAACGCCGGGTACACCAACTCTCTCTCTAGCGCCGGGTACACCAACTCTCTCTCTAGCGCCGGCTACACCAACTCTCTCTCTAGTGCCGGCTACACTAACTCTCTCTCTAGCGCCGGCTACACCAACTCTCTCTCTGCTGCCGGCTATAGCGCCCAGTCCTCCTCCCAGTCCTTGTCTGGCGCTCAATCCCCAAGGGCTGGTCCCTCAAACATCAACTACAATGTTCCATCACTCGCGTCACGTACGTATTGTTTCTTTTCATCGTAAATCATTTTCTAACAAACACACCATGTTCAGCACCGAGCTCCCACCTTATCGGGCCCATACCTCATTGGTTGGGCGGTGATGCCGACGCCGCACGCGCACTGACACACAATCCCATACTGGACGAAATACCGGTATCCAACGTGATACATGTGAGTACTTAATGTTATATATCTTACTACACGTTTTAATGATAACAGACTTTGGGTCCGGTGCGCTCTATCGAAAGACGCCGACGCTCCCGACGTATGCCCTCAACGCCGTCGTTGGCGCCTTATTCGGCGCCCCCATGCCCGACGCGTACCCCAAATCCCAGCCCGCCTCCATCCCCAACGCGCACTCCAAATCCTGGCCCGTCCTCGGCTACAACGTCGAGTGACGTTGTCATCCAGGTCAAGGTCAGTGCGGCGGACCGCGAGCAAGTCTACAGCCGCTCGCGAGACCTTATCAAGGGCACCATCTTCACGCCTGATGCAATCGCATCAAAATCTGAGGACCAGAGTCGCCTCGTCAGGGATATGATCAAAGCATCAGCGCCTTCCATTCCGAGCCTTCGCGGTAAGTTCAATGAAGACTCTTTTAGCTTATACTGAATGAATAGTAGGGCTAAATCGATGGCCATCGACGCCGAAAGATGTGCCGACGATTTGGCGGGGAGTGGTCCTAGTGCGTTCGACGATGATGACGATTGCGCGACAAAACGTGGTGATGGCATATGACCTGCTCCCCGAACACGATTCCAACATCCCGCCAGATCAATTTCGTGTCGATCGAGTAGCTAGTCTTGTGCGAGACAAGGCCTATATGCACAAACATTCATTTTCTCAAGTATGTTTATTTTTTGTTTCGAAATCAAGATCTAACTAAGGCTTAGGACGGGACGGTGATCATTCACAACAAATGCCAGAATAAATTCATATTCACCCTGCTCATCAAACTCATCTGGCTCTCGAATCACGGACTTCACGCGCTACTCGGCAACCACCAATCACCTCGTGAGGCACTGCATCATGCGTACTGCCTTGCATGTTCAATAACGGAGCATGCATTATTGGAACAAGGCCAACTAATATTCACGAAGCAGAAGTTCTCGCCGACTGAGAACAAGACGATATTCGATAGCGTTAATTTTTTTCTAAATTCTCTCAGTGAGGAGGAGAAGGCAAGTCTTGATAGATGGAAAGACCATCTGATTGTTTGTGGGAGGTCGCAACAGGGGTCTACTGCCATTCTTTCCGATTTCGACTTGACTATTGAAACGTAGAATTTGGACTATAGTTTGCAGTTTTAGCATAGTTCATAGTTTTTGTGTTAGATTCCCACAAATTTCGTGATTCTACCTACAATAAATTATTAAAATGCATACCGGAGTGCTTCAAACAGTCAGATATTAGTATTACGAACGCCAAACGTATACCGGAGTACTTAAAACAGTCATTACGGATGCCTGACCTGACTATACCATATCCGAGAAGTTTCAGACATGTTTTAAACTCGGTTCGAACACGGACCCTCTCTTAGATGATGGAACAGGGTGCAAAGTGATTGTCGAGTCATGTCGATTGTGAAAGAAACAGGGTGAAAAGACATTCATCAACAATCAACACGTACGGTGATGAATTGACGTACTTTGTGTCTCTCGTAAAGAAAACTCATTTTGAATGATGAATCATGGACCAAACTTCCAAACAGCCTGTGTCTCCCGCAGAATCTGGTGCACAGAAAGGGCGAGTGGACATGATGCTGGCAATACAGCAGAGACTGGGAGATCTGGGATGTGCGGTGAAGGCTGTAGTAAGATGGTTTCCTACGCCAGCCGAGGCACGAGGCTAGCGTAGAATTTAGTCTACACGCAAATTAAGCGAGGTGGCGCAGAAAGCTTCTTGCGTCTCACCACCTCGTAGTCGTCTAACAGTCTCAGTACAACGTCTAGTTTCTACGTCTTTTTGCTTCTCCAAACCTCTACATAGCCAGTATGGACCCTAACAACGCGGTTAGACCAGACTATACGTTACCAGAGTTCCATGGAGAACGACAACAATTAATTGACGAAGGCTTATCCGAACAACAGGCCGTTCGATCCTTGACAGCGTTATGGAATTTTAACAATAACGCTGAGAAGGTACGTTGGACAGCTAGGCTAGAGCGCCTAGAAGAGGCTCGTCAGCGAGCCGAAGAAGACGAAGCCCAGAGGCAACAAGACCTTAAGGATGAAGAAGAAGCAACTCGGTTAGAAGATAGGAAGAAAAATAAGAACAAGTACGCGCCTATCAAGCGCGGAAAAGTTCCTTCTGACCCTACTATCCTCCCGGCGCAGTACGCGACCAGGAGATTGAAAGCAGGGGACTACTGCGAGTTGCACTATTTCACCAACAAAGGCCTCGACGAGGCCAAGGTTTCAGCTTTAATTGCCAAACCCGATGCGCTGGTAATGCTCCCAGCATCAGATGGGATCCACTCATGGGTTCTGGCTGCAGCAGTCAAAGATCCCAAGGCGGCCCCAGTCACCAAAGATGAAAATCTTACCTGGGAAGAATTTAACGAAGCGGCCCCATGCATAATCTCATTTATGAAAGTACACGACTGGCCAGACGACAGAGTCAGCATGCACATCCAGTTCTGGACGGCTCTTCAAGCACACCGCTGGCGTCACGCACCGGACGTCCTCAAGCAAAAAGCTCTACTACTTTACCAGTCGCAACAGCGACGACGCTGGCACCTTACGGTGGGAACCGCGCAAGGTTGGAGTTTAGAGGAAATAAACCAGGACCTGCTAATCGAAGCGAGAGAGGAATTATTCAATGAGAAACGGGACAAAGACACAGCATTGGCGGTCCAGGTCAGTTATAGACTCTTTTCAAATGTTCCAGCGCTCATCACACGCCTGTGCATCGCACCGCTTCCACCCCTTTTCTTCCACCCCGCTGTGTTATTTAATTAAAATTTTCAATTGTCGGCCAATCGCGCGCTGACAACCCCCCCCTTTTTCACTCGTGCATCGCGCATGATTTCAGCTCGGTTATCACAACCGTTGGCTATGGCCAATCACGCGCCGATAAACGAAATCACTTCGTTAAATCTTGGTTATCGCAACCAACCCCCCCCCCCTTTTTTCATTGGCTCGAACCTGCGCTCACTCGTTTTCGCATCACGCGATGTGACACATCCACCATCATCCAGCAAGCAGCAGCGGCTTACACAGCCAAAAGCTCAGACTCCCTGCGTCAGCAATACCCAGCATCGGCGCAGCAAGGACATGTATCCCAGAAGCGCACTCAACCTCCCTACGAAGAACCAATAGGCAGTAACAAAAAGGTACGCACTGATCGTGCTCCGTTTACCTCCGGGCCCCTCCCATGCTGCGCAGTGTGCCTGGGACGCAACCCGCACAAAACAATTGAGTGCGTGGCCACCCACACTTGGGACAAGATGCACGAAACATTCGCAGAACGTATACACAAAGGCCTATGGACAAAAGACGGAAAGCAACTCTGTACCGCCTGGCAGCGCAAAGAAGGCTGCACGGTACCCAGACACGACGCGCGACACATCTGTTCAGGATGTGGAGCCTCGTCCCACGGAGCCCAAAGATGCGCTCGAGCTCAGAAGGCGGAACCCGCTAACGCCATATAAAGTAGAAGCTTGGACACATGAGCTCGAGCAGCTCGGACTCTTTGGACGCTTCCCTAAGATACTTGAAGGTCTTAGAACCGGTTTCAAAATAGATTTCCCGCCTGTCACTCGTGTACAAACCCCACCTAATAAAGCCTCAATTGTCGAATTCGAAGCCGAGTTTAATTCTATAATCCAGAAAGAGATCGACAAAGGGAGATATGTTGGCCCATTCGAGGCAAATGTCTTAGAACATCTAATCGGACCTTTTCAGTCATCGCCTCTAGCCATTATTCCGAAACCCGGAAAACCAGGGAAGTTTCGGATCATACAAAACTTCTCGTTCCCTCATTCTCCGAGCACGCTCTTCCCTAACCCGTCGGTTAACTCATGCATAGACGCCAACGATTTCCCAACGACCTGGGGAAAATTTTCGATTATACATATACCATTTAATATCCACCCTTCCCCCAGGCTCCGAAGCCGCTACCAGGGACATAGCAGAAGCTTACTGAACAGTTCCACTCCATCCCTCGCAGTGGCCAGCAGGCGTGATCCGAATATCGGATACTCAGTTTTGTGTCGACACATGCACAGCGTTCGGCGCCACTCCATCAGCGGGAGTGTATGGGCATGTAGCCGATGCCGGAACTGAAATATTTTGACATCGAGGAATCGGGCCGTTGGACAAATGGGTTGACGACCACATATTTTTCAGGATAAGGCGTGAGTACCTCGAAAGTTACAACGACAGCAGGGCATCATGGCACAAAGAATTCGCAGAAGCCGGTCTGAGACAATCGGGCAGTAGACTATGGTTTGGAGAATTCTGCCCGGTCAAGGGGCGAATGGAAGAATCTAGCGAAGACCGAGCAAAACCATTAATAGATTTGTCGCGCCGCTCACAACGTTCAGCACACGACGCATTATTCACCTTTTGTTTTCAAGACTTGGACGATCTATCCAACTTCTTAGGTATCATTTGGGAGCGCCTGAAAGATCAAATGTTCGGTACCTCAACGGTGTACATAGGTTTCACCTGGGATTTGAAACGGATGGTAGTAGCCTTAAGTCCCGCTAAAGCGGACAAATATCTCTTAGCCATTCACAAATGGAGGAAGAGACGAACACACGTTCTCAAGGACGTACAAGAGTTGTATGGCAAGCTACTCCACGCGTGTTCGGCAGCACCTCGAGGTTGAGCCTACCTCACGAGCCTCGAAGACATGCTCTCGACTAATGGAGCTAAACTGTTCCTGCCACACAGAGCGGGAAAAACCGTAAGCGAAGACCTGGATTGGTGGACGGACCTACTTCAATCTGGAGGAGTATCACGAAACATCTATCCAACTTCCGAGCGCCAGGATCCTCTCGCTTTCTCGGACGCGATGTAGAAACAACAATACTGCCAGGAACAAAGATAGCTCCTAGCTGTATCTATAAATGTTGTAGGTCGTGCGTTGCCTAGTCTGCGATACTTGAGATGGCAAGTGCGTTCGACCCTATAGGGGAAGCGAGTGCAGTGAAGATCTACAGGTACGCGCTGAAGCGAAGCGCGAGAAAGCGCAGGTGCGCGCAAGGCGCGGGAACACGCGCGCATATTAGCGCGAAGCACGGGAAAGCGCGCGTGCGTATGCAGAAACAACAGAGAGGTTAGACTTAAGTGATGATATGATACTAGATAAGAGAAGAGAGATGCGAGGTGTAAACAGATAGAGTTCTACTATGTTCTGCTAAGTAGTAAGTAAGTAATAATAAGTAAATGGGAGGTAAAGTAAGGTAAAGTGTAGTATGTACTGCTGGCGCTTATATAGCGCGCCTAAGCGTGGTCATGCGGAGCCGAAGCGCTACCGAGTAGGTATGTAAAAATATATATGAGTGAGAAACTATGATAAAAATAAAGGTGGAACTATGCTAATAAAGGAAATGGAAATATACGTACTAGGGAGCTTGGTGGACAGTGGATGGATGCATCTGAATGGCTGGCGCTATAGGGCGCGCAAGCGCGGGAACGCGCGCGCGCGCCTACATCGTGAAGCGCGGGAATGGTGCGCGCATGGCGCGCGTTGCGTGGGAAAGCTGCGCCTCATATAGAGATAGCTGCGGGTAGCGCACAGAGTGACACTACAAGTTCATGCTATGTACTTCCTAGTGTAAAGCTGTCATATCAGACCATGAGACACACGAGTCTCTACAGCGAGTTCAGGCATAGGGATAGGTATTGTTATAGGCAAACACTGGAGAGCTTGGAGGTTAATACTGGGCTGGAAAACACTCAATGGAACACGAGACATTGGTTGGGCCGAAGCCATCGGCTTCGAGTTGCTTATCTATGCCCTCACCTCTCTCCCAAACCTTAGCGACAATGTTCTCATCTACGGAGACAACACCGGCATCGTGGAAGGTTGGTGGAAACACAGACACCGCAACAAAGCTGTCAACGGAGTTTTTCGGAGGATACACAACTTCCTACACCATCTACCCAACCGTCTCGACATTGCAACTGCCTATGTCCCAAGTGAATTCAATCCCGCAGACGACCCTTCTAGAGGCATACTCGGACCCGCCCACCTTCTTCTCCCTCCCATCAGCCTTCCCACCAAGCTTAATCAGTTTGTCATCGACGCCACTCTACCACTCTCCCCCATCGAGTTACGAATGTTGCGAGACGGGAAGTACTCCGTTCCCGCAGCTAAACTCATCAATCGCACCCTCATCAGACAACAAGCAGTGGAGCGGAACAAAACCTACTGGGCGGAAGAAGATGACCTTATCAGCCGAGCACTCAGAGACGAGTGACTACATGGGTCGCAACCGTTTTGGAGCTCCCTTACCCGAGTCACCAACAGTATCCATACCCACCCCCCAAAACTACAAACCGAACCTTACTCCTCGTCAATCCAACCTCCGACCTCATTGCCTTGCGCACGAACATTTGAGACTCTGGGTTCCTGCGGGAAGCAGCACCAGACAGTTAGCGTCCACAGCAGGAAGCCCCAATACTCACGAAGTATCCGACGAACAGCTGAACCGTATCCTGGAAGTAATGGGCTCCGCATGGGCCCAGTCCACGAAGGAAACCTATGGAGCAGGTCTATTAGTTTTTCATGTTTACTGCGACCTCAATGGTATAGAAGAGAGCAAATGCTGCCCGGTCAGCCCAAGTCTCCTCCTCAAATTCTTATCCAGTTGTGCAGGCGCATACTCCGGTTCAGCGCTAGCCAACTATACAGCTGGTATCAAAGCGTGGCACCTGCTCCATGGCAGACTTTGGCTGGTGCGACCAGCTGAACTCAAAGCTATGCTGGATGAAGCTACCGTGCTAGCTCCCTCGTCCTCCAAAAGGCCTAAAAGACAGCCCATTACCCCAGAGTTCATTTCCTCCATCCGCGAACACCTAAACCTAAATGAGCCGCTTGATGCGGCAGTTTTCGCTTGTATGACCACGACATTCTATTGTATAGCAAGATTAGGAGAGTTCACTGTTAGAACGGTCAAAGGTTTCGACCCGAAAAGACATATATCAAGAGCAGGAATGGTAGAATCGACTGACCGCAACGGCCTACCAATCACCAAATTCGCACTTCCCAGCATGAAATCATCCCCAACAACAGGCAAAGAAGCTTATTGGGCAGCTCAATCCGGGCCAACAGACCCTAAAACGGCCATGGAGAACCACATTAGAATCAATGCAGCTGAGTCCGGAGCGCACCTATTCGCGTGGAAACACGAGAAGGGCTTATGGCCACTCTCGAAGACGGAATTTACGAAGAGGATGACACTGGCTGCTACCGCAGCAGGTCTTTCCGACCTCAAGGGTCATGGTTTGCGGATTGGGGGAACTTTAGAGTACCTCATGCACGGAGTACCTTTCGATGTCGTCAAGACAATGGGAAGCTGGTCAAGCGAGGCATTTACCTTATATCTTCGAGACCACGCAAAAATCATGGCACCGTACATCCAATCCTCACCCGCGTTAGAACCATTCACGCGTTACACCATGCCACCAGTGCGCTAACCACATCTCGAAGTGAGTACAACTCCTTTTCTCTCCAAGGGCATCAAGCTTCGCTGCATGTGTCGCAGTCCTCCTAATTTTCGGGAACACAGCTCACCATTGATACCTAGGCCCAGTACCTGTTTCAGCCCGGAAAAGCCCTGCGGGCTTTCGCCCAAACAGTCAATAACCTTCGCCTTGTTCCTTTTCATGTCGATCCCTAGTATCATTCCATTATCACTATCGTTCTTCTCGTAGTGTTAACGAAACAATAACTACCGCTCTCAATTACTCTCACATGTATCTCACTTAGTCCCTGAACACATCGCATT